CCCAGCCGCAGAAGAGGGGTAATAACACGTCGAGTAGCAGATAGATAGAAATACTTGAACCAGAGATCGCAGATGGATTCTACGGGGCAAGAGAGAGACTGTGGTAAGACCTAGGGAAGGAGGACGGCGTAACAATATAGCAGACTCTGATCAACATTCCCAGCACAAGGATGAAGGGGGGTGAGAAGGCCAGCCTGGAGTGCGGAGGGTTCTAATGAAAGCCGCCCAAAAGGGCACACCGTACCACATTTAAGTAAGCAAGTAAAAAATTGTGACAGTGAAGGCATGGTTGGATGATATAGGAAATGTGAATAGGCCAGGGCAGAAGGGGAGATACCATATCTGTTTAGCACACGTTTAATCAAAGGATCGGCTTCACTTGTCTCTTTGACTAGTTGTAATATGATGCTATGAATAGCAAAACTCACTGACGATGCCGGCTAAACGTCTTGGAATGTACCATGTGCATTGCTTCCCTAAAGGTATTCTCATTCAGGGTAGACTGCAGTTTCAAAACCCCCAATGTGACTTCAACAATGACTCATATCATTCTGGTAAAATTCATCTACCAATCCCTCTTCACCTTGAGATAAATAGGATGAGCATCTCATATCTAAATCTAGTCCTGGCGTGCCCTTTCGAACAGATTTAATACGACCCATTCATACTCACCACTGCTACCCTCACCCCGACCTCCTTAATGATCCAGGTCTGCCCTTTTAGTCCGCAATCATCTTCCTCCAAGTCCCATCAGTCTCCCTCTTGCTCGGTAAGATTTGTCTCATATCTACCTGGTCCAGTGATTTCATTCTATCATTTCCACCATATCCACCAATCGAAAAGTCTGGATTCTCAAGTTACATGGAAAAATAATTTGAAGCTTCAGATTCCGTTTAACTGTTTGGCATGTGCACCGAACAAATATCGTGGTCAAGCCGTGAGTATAAACTCCACGGTGCAACTCTGATAATTATCATGGATACTATGGACGCCGGACAAATTGTGTATTTCTAGATGGCCTTGATAATACAACCAAATGCGAACGCAAAGTCAAATAATTTCGTAATAACGAAATGGGACCGCGACTATACTAAAGGTTCTATTAAAAGTATTTAGAGTCCAAATGTAATCGAGTTATACAAAATATTGTAAGAACTTTCGAAAACGAAAGAAAGAGAAAGAAATAGACAATATGCTTTTTAAGAGCACAAAGTTAGAATAAAATACAAGTCCGACATTATAAGAGTATTGATCTGATTAGTCGCAGTGCAACCATCCATAACTATCATTCTTCAATTATACAGATGTTTCGTGTTTCTAAAATAACATCGGTAATCCTGAGGAAATACATCCTGAAGGATGTCACAAAGACAAAAGGTTGAAACAAATAAACAGGGTCGCAAACTCGTTGAAAAAGCACTAGGATCTTACTCAAAAAGAAATCGTAGCTAAGTATCCGTTGAGATTATGAAAAGTAATGAAAATAGAAATAAGGACAGATTAAAAAATGAGTCGAGCCGTGTGAAGAATACTTCGCAAATAAGTATAATTACTTCGAGCAAAATATAGCCATAAGGTCATGGAATAAATGGCTTCATATCAGATATTATATAAATCTTAAATGTGCATGTTTTAGTAAGGGGGAACAAACACAAAATAAACTTACTCAGCTCATTAAATAATTCCTTATGCAAATTTGAAGTACTCTTTGGAAGAATGGATTCTAAGGTCCATGGATAAAAAGGATGGGAAATGCCTAGCAAATAAATCAAAATATTTAATTTATTTTCTAAAACTCGAGTGAATTTTGCCAGTCCCGTAAATACAGACAAGGGGCTGACACGCCACATATTAAAGAGTACTAAAATAAAAGGGGCCGAAAATGAATGAGGAAGATGGATGCTCACTCATAAGTGGATGATATTGAGATAGGCTGTTGTGATGTTGCATCTGAGGGTCGGCAATCAAGACTCCTCCAGTAGACGGGTTGCCTACAGTTGTAGTTGCAGGATTGATGTGAATATCAGCATTGGAGTGATTATCCGTACCAGGAGTTGTAACGATGGGAGTATCCGGAGTCGTAATACTGCTCGAATTATGATCACTTGCCCCCTCAGTTGCAACAGGAACTAGGAACGCAGCCGCCACTGTCGTAGAGTATATCAAAGTCGGAAAGAGTGGACGCTGGCGCTCAACGGCCATATCGATTAGCATCTTAAGAGGACCTCGTGGACAAAGAACTGCAATCAAATCTGATGATCCAACAGGTGATAGAAAAATGATAAGAAGGGCTTAGGAGACTAAATCATGCATTGTTGTTACATACAATCAGTCTATAAGTAGAAATATTGAGGTTCAAGTAATAAAGGAGTAAAAAAGTAAAAGAGGTGGAAGACACAAAATGACTTTAAATGTCCCTTGAGGAATACGACTTGTTTTCTGATGCAGAATTAAGTTCCGACCTTTAAAGCCTATCAATGAACAAATGTGAAATGAAAGCAAAAGCAAGTGCTTCGGTAAAAAAATTGTTTTATATTAAAGTATCCAGCAACTAAATTTAAAAATTATATCAAAAATTTTGAGTATAGTTAAATTATTGTTGGCCTACTTTTAATTTAGCTAGTTAGCAACTTGCAAGGCCATTGTGAAAATTTAGTTTAACGGCAATAATTAAACCATATATTTGTGAAGTGGGTTAACCTCGTTGTCGCAACTTGGTATTGTTGTCAGGGGGACTTAATAGAACGCACCTAGTGCAAAGTCGTCTGCCATAGTAGTTGTCATGGTTCCCAGCATCAGACAATGGACTTAGTACATTCTCAAACGGATCTTGGAAGTTTTCGATGAGGAACTCTTATGACTATATATTGTTATGTTTTCTATAGTAATCGACAACGTTACTTATATTCGTATTAAAGTAGGGTTTCGAGACTACCAGTAAATCAGTGTGATGAGATGTATTCGATCTATTTCGTCTAAGGTGATGAAGGACTGGTAGTAGAATTTTCCCACAATAATATGAGTTGAGCTGACGTTTCCATTTAATTTCACATAGCCTTGCTTTCCCAAAATTTGTTCTCATCCACGAAAACAATGCTTAATTCGAAAAATTAATATTCAAAGCCGCAGCTTTCAAAAATGGCTTAGATATATTTTAATTTGCTTTTAGCTAAAACCTTAGCAGAAACCTATAGAATAATTAATTCTAGGGGTGCAAAAATAGAAATCAAAGGATAAAACAATATTGAATGATAAAATAAAAAGATTTCATAAAGATAACATGATAAAATAGAAATGGTTACCATACGAAAATAATGAAGCAAAACTAGTTTGCCTTTAGGAAT